CCTTTCCTAAAAGAAAGAACCAAAGAAAAAAAATCTCCCCACCCCTCTTTTTCCCCAAAAAACCCCAATTTTGACCCAACAAACTAAGGCCCAGCCTTAAAAATTTCCCAAAAGGAGACAATAAGCGGAAAATCTTTAAAAAAACACTAAAATATAGGTATATGTGATAAATTATAGTTAGAAGCAAGTTATTGAATAAGAAATTAATTAAACATTATAGTAAAAAGAGCATAAAATAGACCTTTAAAAAACTAGGGAAAGACTAAACCTGAAATCAATTTTTTTTGGTTCTTTTTTAAATACCATGAAAGCCATCATTAAAAACGCTCTCATTGAAGAGTTATATTTCCGAAAATACCGCAAGAGGAATGATTGACGGCATTATGCCCTGATTAAAGTGGCTAATGAGAAATGGATTTGGGCTAATGACTACCTCAATAAGAAGTGGAGATTTAAGAAAGGTGAAAGATACGACTTTTACATTCACTCTTTTTTGAAGGGAAAGAATAAAGGGAAAAATTTCCTTTACGACTACTGCTTGGCAGGAAGTCCTCGGGAACTGGAAAAACAGTTTAGGAGGCAGTGGTTAAACGAACAATATCATGGTAAGAACCAGCAGGAATATGACAACTAAATTAACCTGGGAGGAATACCAAAGAATTAAAGATATTAAGATACTGGACTTAGAGTTCTGTGATTATTGGCATGTTAATATCCTTAATTTAGGTTGAAAGCCATGAGGGAAATGGTATTGTGCTAAGCATGAGAGAGAGCATGTATTATGTCCGGGGTTGTGTTTACCGGTAAGTAAGAATGTGCTGGGGTGTGAACTAACAAGAAAGAGGACAAAGAGAACCGAGGAGCCAGTTAAGCCAAATAGATCTTATGACTGAGCGAATTGTTATTTATGTTTTAAAGAACTAAAAGGAGCCAGTAAGAAAGGAGTTATTAAGAACCGGAACAATCCTAATTTTTGAGGGGTAAGTAGCAGTTATAAGATACTTTGCCTTAAATGTATTGGGAAAGAGTTTTATAATAGGTTAAGTAGTGGTAAGAAAAAGACTTGGAGGAAGTATTTGGGGAGGGGGTATGTTTAATAATTCAATTAGAACTCAATTATTAG